ATCTGAGCAATTCAAATCAAGAGTACCTATTTTTCGTAAAAAACTATAAATTCTCATAATTTCATAAAAAAAATTAAATTATTAACCCAGAAAAAAGTTGGGGCTATTTTTGTAACTTTGCCCCCTCCAAATGTTACGCCTATGATTAAATTTTACAGTTTTGATCGTAGATCTAGATTCAGCATGTCAAAATTCGAAAAGTACCGAAAATTCATTTGTTCATGTTCAACCCTCTAGGAATAGTTTTAAAAAAATTATCCTCTTAGGTTCCTATTCAGGGGGCCGTAGCTCCTTTAGGGAGCATTTTTTGATACATGTTTATTAAACAAAAAAGTGTTATTTTTATACGAATAATGCACTGTTTAAGTTTGGCCCCCCTAATTTCGGTTTGGCCCCGTATAATGATAATTGTACCATAAATATTTATACATATGTTAAAAAAACGCGAAAATTCGATGGAAATCAAACTTTGGCCTCGAATAACTCTGGAAGAAATCAATTTATAGAAAAATGATAAGAGACCTTTTTTGTAGAGCGTTAAATTTACTATAAAAATCTAAGATGATCCTTGACATAAGTTGATTCGATTCAGACGTACAAAATTTTAAAGTTAAAAAAAAAAAATTCCCATGTTATTTAAATGGGAAATAGAAAATTGCGATCCGAGACCTCTAAATCTTCAAATTAAAAGCTCAAATTTTGATGAGGTCTTTGTGTTGACATCCTCTGAAAGAATTTGCCGACCATTTGAAGAATAAAAAAAAGTCGATTTTTTTGAAACACCCTAATATATATATATATATATGTATATATACATAGACCACATTTTAAATATACTTTCTCCATATAATTGTGTATTACCCTAATGTTAAGTTTTAATATCTTTGTTGCAAAGATCTGCCGAAAAATAGCATATAGATTATAAAAATATTTTTGTTTTAAATTTACGTATTGTTGTCGGAGTTTTAAATGATTTAAATTAAATTTAAAAATTCAAAAACATAATTTTTATTTTTAAAATGCAGGTTTTAGTTAATCATTGCGCGAACTAAAAATAATACTTACTCGCTTTTAACAGGTAAATCATTTATGCAATGCTCTATTTCTTCTTTAATTTCTTTATTGATTTGGGATTGTCCAGAATTTCTGGATCCTTCAGAAGAATTACTCAATTTAACACTATCAATGAATACATGTGTATCTGAGGTTTCACAGCTAAAACAATTTTTTTTTAAATATCAGCTAAACGAATTAATTTTTGCTGTATGACCATTATGTAGTCGAAAAATACATTTACAGAAAAATACCATAGATTCAAAATAAGACTATTTAACCCACTTTTCAAACGACTTTTTAAAAAACTTATTTATCAATTTGGAACATTTTTAGAGTATAAGTTTATACTTTAAATTGATGTATTTTGGTGATATACAGGGTGTTTTTCAAATTTTCCGGAAAATAAGGTTTGGTGTAAACATAATCCCATTTTTTCATTGTTGATGAAATGCTTTTTGTCTTTAATAAAATGTTGATTGATAAACGAATTAAAAGCGTGTCTTCCATGAAAAAAAATCAGATGTAGGCATGTTATTAACGATAAATTTTAATACGTAATAATAAAAAATAAACAATTTAGTTATCTTAGATGAGAAATTTTAATTTTTAAAATTGTATACGATATTATTTTCTATAGTCCTAAATTGGTTCCAAATAAATAAATAAAAAAAGGTTTTAGCTATTTATATTAATATTTCCTGGTGCACCGCAGCGTTGAGTGAAGGACAGCAGTATATTTTTTAAATTTAAACATTGAATTTCTTAACTGGTAATAATTAAAAATATTTTTTTAATGCTGTTTTAATCACAATCGCCGTTTATTACTTAAAAATTTATTTGTTTCTTTTTAACTATGTTTTAATACCTAATAGGTATATAAAAAACTATAGGTAAGCCAGGACTTAAACCTATTTACGTTTAAAAAGAGCGGGAAAATATAGGCAAAAATATGTAACATGGTTTAAAAAACTTAATACAGTTTGGCTCTGGGGTATACAGATGTATTTTGGGCATGCATTTTAAATCTTAAATATGTAGGTACTTACTCGACCCGACAATCGATTTCCTTTTCTACAGCCTTAGTGTCTTCGGTGACAAAGTCATCGAATAAATATACCTCCTTTTCGTCCATGGTATTGTTTAGGTTCTGTAAAAAAAATATAATATCAAGCCGCTTAATTTAAGCGCCATTTTAGTAATGATTTTACAAAATGTACACTGGTGAAATACATTACTAAACAAAATATCGTTTACTTTTGCTATAAATTGTTTAAAACCGCTATAGCGATTATAAGGTTTAAGTATGTATAGAATACAACAATTTAGGAAATTTGAGATTGTCCCAGTGAAATTCAACCATGCAGTATGAATGAAAATATAATACATAATTGCAAAATTTCTTTTGGATTATGAAAATTTGTCTATTTTTGTCACTCAACTAATTAACATTATAACTTACATAAACCGAATTAATGAAAATTTAATAAAACACACAACCACTGCGTTGGACCATAAGACTAAGAATAAGGGGTCTTTGTTCGTTTACAAGCCCACATGGCCATCTTAATCGCTTTGGAATGATGTTTTTCAAAATATTAGGTAATATTTTGGGGATTTTTTTTAAGTTTAGTAATGCCTCTTATGTATAAAACGGACAAACTGGGCAAATTTTAAAATATTAGGTAATATTTTCATGTGTTTTTATTTTGGTAAAGCACCTTAATTATAAAAACGGTACCTACAAATTAAATGATCACTATTTAAAATGTATGGACAGTACACTTTTGCACTATTTTATTTAAATTAGTTAGTACGCTAATTAAATTGATCAGATTCGTTATTTTTGCTTAGAAGTTATTTATTTTACGTCATACTTGACAGAAGCAAATACAATGAGTTTTTGTCAGGAACTTATATACTTAAGCATAGATTACAATAATCTGAGAGTAGTGCTCACTAAATAAATACATATCAATATTTAAGAGAAATGCTATGACAGAATATAATTTTGAATTTAAACTTTCAATCTTTGTTTATGGTGTGAAGTCAACAGTTGCCAAACCGCATGCGATAAGTTAAAATTTTTGTATAAAATGAAACATTAATTCCTAATCAATCTATATAATAAGACTAGGAAAATTATGATGTAGGTTTTTATTATTTTTAAGGTGGTGCACATTTGGAGAGGATTAAATAAAAAAAAACAAATTAGTTTCAAAATAAATTTTTATTAACAATTACACAAACACAAAAAAAAAATTATGTAAGTGTTATAATTTTGTTTTTAAATTTACGTGTAGCTTTATCAAGGCTCAGAGCTGTTCTGGCTTCGTTGTCCGCCAGATGGCTCTTTGGACTTGAAAGTTATGCAACACACAAAACATTCATCACATTCATTAATACGACAACAGATGGCGTCTAGTGTATTAAACTTTATTATTATTTACAAATAAAACATTAGGTATAATATACACTAACGCTAACACGGCCAGCCTGACGATGGGACGCCTCGGCCCATCCTGACCATCCAAATAAATGTCGTCCCCTTAGGACTCAGACTTGTCAGTATCACCAGAGGGCTGCAAAGACAACATAATTGTAACTTTGTTAAGACAAATTTCAATCAACAGACAAGCCAAAGTTAAGCTTTAAAACAGTACTCAAGTCGATAGACAACGAAAGTCTAACGGCTTCAAAATAATATTCGAGTCGATTTCAAGTCGATAGACAACAAAAGTCTAACGGCTTCAAAATAATATTACAAATCAATTCTAAGTCGATAGACAACAAAAGTCTAGCGGCTTCAAAATAATATTACAAATCAATTCTAAGTCGATAGACAACAAAAGTCTAGCGGCTTCAAAATAATATTACAAATCAATTCTAAGTCGATAGACAACAAAAGTCTAACGGCTTCAAAATAATATTACAAATCAATTCTAAGTCGATAGACAACAAAAGTCTAACGGCTTCAAAATAATATTACAATCGTAACCGCTAACACGGTACCCCTGACAACAAAACGGTTAAAGGATAAAACAGGACCATACCTGATTCAGGACAGCTGGCGTTTCAGAAGTTTCATCATCATTAAGATAGCTATCAAGCAGCTCAATACAGTCATCAGGCAACCATTCGCGGTGCCAGGGACGCATTTGTATCGCGGCGGCTGCAGTAATGCGGGTGGATTCACTAACATCGTCAACTCTGCGAGGATACATTAAAAGTAACCCATCGACGACCAATTAGAAGGCTGCAGCGATGCAGTGTTGCCGTAGTGCATGCTGGGCCGCGGGTAATTTGCAAACATAACCTCAATATCTTGGCAGCAATTTTCACATTTGTTTTGTCACGTAGTTTGCTTGCTTCAAGTGTGGCTTTTCTGTGTTTTTCACTTAATAGTTGTGTTTTTAGTGTTAAGGTGTAACTATTGTTACTCTATTCGATTTTTGAGTTTTTCTGTGCTTTATAGACTATAAATTTGTGCATATTCAATATATATTTATATTCTTTAAAATGGATTTAAATACGTAAGTTTACACAAATAAGTTAAATTAAAAATTAAATGTTTACTTTGTAGGCAAACAAATCCCAAAATTTGTGAGCATTGTGAGATGGAATTTTGCAGTATCTCTTCCAAAAATGATCATCTAAAGCGAGTCCACAATAAGCCAGTGGAGAATAAAACAACGCCTCGAATTTTATGCCCACTATGCCCTGAAGGGGAAACATTTTTAAGCCATAGGCTTGTAAAGCATTTAAAAGATATTCACGACATTGTTGTTAAGGTTTCTACTTTGAACTTTAATAACATTAAAGAATTTGAAATCTGAAGAACACTAGAAAAAAGGGAAGTTGATTATGCTTGTCATAGGAAAAATAAAAGGCCAAATGGAGAAGAACATTGGTATTACAAGTGCAATAGAAGTAACTGTGCAGGTTGTATGCTTTATTCGCAGTATTTAACATTACTTATTATCTCTTGTTTAGGATTTAGTAGTACTGCTACTCAACGTAGTTTAAAAGCCAAAGGAAGTATTAGGATTCATGGAATATGCCCCTCAAATATAACTGCAAAAATTTCTACCAGTGGTAAATCTATTTTAGCAATATGTAATAATTAGAAAATAAATTCATTTACCTACATATGTTTCAAATCTATGTTTTTTTAGGATATGTTACAGTAACTTTTTTTGAGACACATGTGGGACATGAGGATGACCTACGGACTAAACGACTGTCAAAAAGTGAACAAAATGTTTTGTGTGGAAAAATTAAATGCAGGTGTAACAAGCCAAAGAATAATCAAAAATGCTAGAATGGTTAGTAACCATACTTTGGAAAGGATTAATGTAATTACAAGGGGTGATATTTAATCCAAAAATATAAAATTGATAAAAAAAGGCATGCTGATGATATGATTGCTGTATCTTTGAAAGTTGAGGAATGGAATCAACAGGGAAGGAATGATGCATTTTTATTTAATTAAATAGGTACCTAGGAAATTGGATTATTAAATACATTATGGGGTTTCTCACAAAAATATCATTTTTAGGAATGAATTTTCCAGGATTGAAGGATGAAGATTTTGCCTTGGGATATATGAATGGGATAATGAAAAGAAAACTAAGGGAATTTAAAAAAAATATTTGCATTGATGGGACACATGGCACTAATCGTAGAAATTGGGATTTAACCATTGTGCTAATTAAAGATGAGAGAACAACATGCATGAAAGTAAAAATGCAACAGGAAAACCCATGGGTTTTCCTGTTGCATTTTTACTTTCTAGCAGAATGGATAAAAAAATACCGAAAGTATTTTTTAATGGACTCAAGGAAAAATTAGGAGGTCCTATTGAAGCACAATACATAATGAGTGATGATGATCCCAAATATTTAAATGCATGGACCCTGGTGATGAGCACAGAGGAAATATCCAATCCAAGAAGAATCAATAATCGATTAATCAAATAATCGATTATTTTATATAATCAATAATCGATTATGAATTTCCATAATCGCCCAGCCCTATAATTATAGTATATAGTATAGTATATATATATATATATATATATATATATATATATATATATAGTAATAACATTATTTGGCTATGTATACTTATTATGTAAAAAATTAAAAACATCACAACATGTATTAAAATTATATTGTATGATTGATTATTTTATATTAAAAAAAAATAGATACAATAGTTTGTTTTATTTAAATATTCACTTCAGGGTTGTTCAAGTATTAAATATCGCTTTTGATAGGGAAAGGAGTTTTGTGTGGATTTTTATTTCTTAATGAAAAAATAAATATTAGCATTTTTTGAGCAAATTAAAAATTGTAAATATTACCAAGGTGTCCAAAATGGCCAAAAAGCTTTACGTAATAATTAAAATTATTTGAAAATATAAATTAAAGTGCAGAATGTGTAGGTATTGCAGTTTTTTTATTTATTGTGATAATTACAAAATCCCTTCTTAAAATACCCAATAGAGACCCTGTTCAAAACGATAGATTTATATCAAAATGTATGGTGTTTCTATAGGGTGTATCGGTTTGTATAGAACCCATAGTTGGGATTTATGGTTGTTCTATAGGGAAATCCACCCTTGATTTATTTGCTATTGGTTTCGAAACCAATAGCAAATAAATCAAGGGAAAATACACATAAATGTAGAAATTAGTTTTCCCCCATAGGACCCCATAGGTTTTAATAAAATTTTGTCAAATGTTTTATGGTTTTTCTATAGGGATATCCCTATATATCCTTCATTGAGTTATTTCCTATCGTTCTCAATAGGGAAAATGTAAAAGTTAACCATAATTATAGTGTGCCTATAGATAATTTCCTATAAATTTACTATCGGGCCGTATCCGGAAAAAAACATGGACAAATGCACATATTGAATCCGGTAGTGCCCGATAGATTATTTTATAGTCTCTATGGGGTATTTTAAGCAGGGATAGGGAAGGGTAACTTTGTAGGTATGCATACCTACAAAGTTACCTATACATTTCCATTAGCTTTAACAATATTTTTGCTTGCTAAAAATACCTTTACCTATTATAATTGTATTAATGACAATAAATAATGTAGAACTTACTTATTTACGTCAAATATTGTTTAAAAACCATTTGCGAATATCTATCTAAGACTTAAACCACTATTTTTTATATTATCCATGCCATTGTTATACAACTCATATTACGGGGAATTTAAATTACCCGCGGCACGGCACAGCACTACGGCAACATCGCAGCATCGCAACAAATGCTGCTACGCTCTGATTGGTCGTCGATGGGTTACTTTTAATGTATCCTAACTCTGCGTAGTTCATAGCGATTCGGGGAGGAAATACCAGTAATTTTGTAAGGACCCATCCAGCCAGATTCCAATTTCTTGGGTTTGAGAGCCTCACGCGTGACGAGCACATAATCGCCAATTGCAAACGTAGGTTGTTGCAAACGAGTACGTTTAGCAGCAGCGTAAGTTTCCTGTTGAGTGGCATTATCATTCAAGCGTTGGTTAATAAACTGTCGCCATTGTACAAGTTGAGGTGGCGAGTCAAGGAGTTTATCATCGGAGGCACAGTTGATTATTCTTTGAATTTCAGGAAGGCGATTATCGCAGCCAAATAAGGTTTGCAAAGGTGTTTTTTGCGTTACTTTATGAACGGTGGAGTTAATAATTAACTGAGTACGGGAAACCAGATCATCCCAATGATTATGAACGTCAGCTTGGACACGGAGTAAGTTAGCAATGAAACGCATGTAACGTTCAACTTGACCATTAGCTTGGTGAACATATGGGGTGATAAAGTGCCAGTCGATGTTCCATTCACTTAGGAGGTGGTGATTAGGGACCGCTTTAAACGATGTACCGTTATCGGCGATGAATCGAGCAGGGGTGCCAATGAGGTATATCATATCGACTACACAATTAGCAAGGTCTTCGGTTTTCTGACTTTTTAAGGCGTAGAGGAAACAGTATTTTGAGTAGGCGTCTACAGCTACAAATATATGGGTGGAGCCTTCTTCAGTGCGAGGTAAGGGACCTAGGCAGTCAACATGGACGGTATGAAAAGGGATTGGAACTTTGGGGATGGAGCGAACGTCAAAGTTGTTTGATGTTGTTATACGTTTTTTTGTGAGGCACGTTAAGCAAGCTTCAACGTACTTTTTAACAAATGCGCGTAATTTTGGGAACCAAAAATGAGACGAGATGCTAGCTACAGTCTTATCCACCCCAATATGAGCTTGGCCGTCGTGATATTCTTTCAGTAGAGCAAAGCGAGCACATTTAGGAACAAAATATTGAGTTATCTTTTCGGAATGTATGGTACTAATGTGACAGAGGGTGTGTCCAATGATACAAAATTGATTTTTGTCAAGTTCGTTATTTAACAATTTTTCTTTTAATTCAACTACTTCGGGGTCATTACTTTGCTGGACAGTCAACCAACCCTGAGGCATTAAATTGTCGGGTTCTTCAGCATCTTCGATGTCGTGACTAGCGGAGTCAGGGACTGTTACATTACCGACAGCTACTGGACGCGGGGGATTGCGGCTTAAGTAATCGACCGTAGACATTTGCTTGCCTGGTGTGTGTTCAATATCGAAGTTAAAGTCTTGAAGATACATCCACCAACGGCTAACTCGTGGAACTAAATCACGTTTGTATTGTGATCGTTTAAGGGCATTACAATCCGTAACTAGCTTAAAAGGGACGCCAACTAAATAATGTCTAAAATGTTTAAGCGCATTAACTACCGCTAAAGTCTCAAGCTCGTACGAGTGATACCGCGATTCTGCATCGGTGGTTGCTTTGCTAAAGTATGCGACAACGCGCTTCTGACCGTCATAGATTTGAAATATAATCGCTCCAAAACCGTGGCTACTGGCGTCTGTGTGAAGTTCAATGGGTAACTCTGGATTGAAAATGGCCAGCACCGGTTCGTCGGAGAGAATATCAATAATCTCGTTAAAGACAGCAGTGTGATCAGATGTCCATCTCCAAGGTTCATTGACCTTTGTCAAATTAGAAAGTAAACGTGTTTTTAGGGAGAAATCGGGTATAAATTTTCGAAAATATCCCGCGAGCCCGAGAAATTGGCGAACTTCTCTAACATTAGTCGGAAGTGATAAGGATTTAAGGGCTTGAGTTTTGGATGGACTTGGTCGTACACAGCCATTCGAAATTAATCTACCCAGATATTCTACTTCAGTTTGTAGAAAGTGGCATTTGTCTAAATTAACTGAAAAACCATGAGATCGAAGGGTTGTAAGGACTAGAGTAAGCCGAGAAATGCCTTCTTCGGGCGTTGCGGATGGAATGAGTACATCATCTAAATAGACGAGGGCAATACCCTTTTGAATTTCATTACGAAGGGCCATGTTGATGGCTCTTTGATAGATAGAGGGTGCATTGGCAAGACCAAAGGGCATTCGGAGGTACTCATACTGTCCGTCAGGTGTTACAAAGGCTAACTTTGGTACAGAATCAGAATGAACAGGGATCTGGTGGAAACCAGCTGCCATATCTAAAGTAGTGAAGTATTTGCTAGTACTTAAGCGGTCAATCTGATCATCAATAAGAGGGAGTGGATAGCGGTCCCTGACTGTGATGCGATTGAGGGCGCGGAAATCCACCACCAAACGAGATTGACCATTCTTTTTGCGCACAAGTAAGCAAGGACTTGCGTAAGGAGAATTAGACGGTCGGATTATGCCATTCTGAATAAGATCATTGATAATATCCCGCAAAGTTTCGCGTTCAGCTGAAGATAACCGGTAGGGGCGATAATTAATTTCTTTATCAGAGGTGAGGTGAATTTTAAATTCACCCGTAGTTATGGGCTGGGGGATTTTATTGCCAGTAGTGAGTACATCTTGAAACTTTTCTAGAAGCAGCTGAAGGTCGCCTTCTTCTGAATTTTTAGGAGTATCGCAGTTTTTGTATTCTAGAGTAGGAATTGTATTATTATATGTCAATGTTACACCTGGCAACCGCAGAAAATCACAGCCAAGTATTATATCGCAGCAAAGGGTTTCATAGGGTACAACATGAATTTTGAAAGGGATATCAACTTTTGTTAGCTGTATATTAACAAAAATTACATGTGTAGACTGAAATAAATTATTTCCTACCCCTGATATCGAAATTGGCTCATAAATGAGGTTAGACGATAATTTTTGCGCTACACAATTTTTTATCAAAGACACCTGCGCACCTGTATCAAGTAATGCCTGGTGTATCTTATGATTAATAGAAATTGATGAAAGATGTAAGTCGGTAGGGTTGGTTTGACTAGTTTTACGGGGAGAATGACAAACATTGACACGCTTTGGGTTATTAGTGGAGCTGCGGTTATCCTGCGTTCGCTTATAGCACTTTTCAATAGTATGGCCTGGCACTTTACAATATCTACAATAAAAGCCGCTTGTGCCGGATGTAGACGGATTTGAGACGGAAGCTCCATTGCTATATCGTTTTTGGCCTCGTTGGGGACAATCAGCCTGCCGGTGGCCCGGTTGTCCACATTTATAGCACCGAAATGAGTCTGACATCGGTCGTTTTTGTTGAGTAGTTAAATTAGAATTAGAGTAATTTTGATTATAAGTTGTACTGGCGTGTAAAATACCCCGCGGTTTTGTCTGAATATTTGCTAGTTGAATCATTAACGAGTTAGGACTCAAATGACCGGACTGCATAATTTGTGAACGCAAAACAGAATCTTTAATACC